TCAATCACCCATGGATGCTTTTGGATGTTGAATTCTGAAACAACCGAACGCCATTGAATATCAAATTCCTCGGTTGTCCACCAGGAAGCCATGCATTTTGAGAATGCTGCTGTAAACTTTGGGTCACCAATGTTAGCTTGTGCATTGCAAGAAATATGCCAAGAACATAATATGTGCTTAGCATAAGGGATAACAGATCTGATAGCCCTCTGCATTGCCCTATCCCCATCGGTGACAACTGAAATAGGTGATTTATTCATCATGGCTTCTAAAAAATTCTGTAGCACCCACTCGAAAGATTGAGACGTCTCGTCAGTGATTATGGCAGTGGAAAACACAATTGTGTTATGGTGATGATTGACACCGACAATAGGCATAATTGGTCGACCATACAAATTATCTTTGTACGTTGTGTCGAACGCAATTACATCACCGAAGCATGTGTAATCCGATCTCGATGTAGAATCTGACCAAATAAGATTATACAATGCCCCCGATTCGTCTACCGAGTATGTCATAAAAAAACCCGGGATCATCATGTTTCTTATAATCAAAGTAGGCAATAAGCGCATTCACATCCCCATCGACGATTTCCTTTGCTTTACCTCTTTGAAGTGCATTGTAGAGGTCTTTATGTGTAAATCCAACATTATGATAGCCCCCTGCCTGCTGCGTTAAATAGTTCATTACTTGTGATGTGCCAACACCGACCTCTTTCAATGTTATTGCCTCATCGATATCAGCCTCACTTACAGCTCTATTAGAACGCATAAATGGTGTCATAGCAGGTGTGCACAATGTATGATTATGTTTCTGATCAGACTTACTTATAACCCACTGATCGCTTGTATTTGTTAACTAAGACTCTAGCCTTACATCATGTTCTTGTGACTGGCGTATGAGCACGTTGACGATCAACAGTATTGACTTTTGATCCTCGAAACCCTTCTTTGGAACAACAAAATTCTTGTGTCTTCACATTCCCTTCCACGTCAAGCCGTGTTGTTCCCTTACGTGCACTAAACCCATGTTCCCGTGCGAATCCCTTGTAAAAGTACCAAGCTTGATCACGTGAACAGAAGAGCTGACCAACCAATCTGTCAGATTCATCAACATTATGTACTTTATGGCATTCCTCGGTTGGCTTAACATTGTCTACATCAGTATGATCCATGGCAAAAATTTTGTTGTGCAAGTTCAGTGGTCCCGGAGTTGATGGAGATGTAAGCAAAGGTTCATTTTGAACATGTTTCAGTCGTGCTGCTTTCAATAGGATGTGGTATTGGTAATGGTAGTTAAAGGGTGGGTACAATATTAAATTCGCAGTACATATTTAGGTATGTACAATAACTACCTAAATATGTGCCAATACATTTTCTACCTAAACATATTGTTAAATTTAAATTCTAAATAATATTTTATAAAATATCAAAACAATCAAATAATTTTTTGTGTAAATGAAATTATTAAATTAATATTGTTGGTGAAAAACATGAAACACTATTAAAAAAATTGAAACATAAATTACATAACTTTAAAAAAAGTATGGATCCATTTTATAAAAAGTATGGACACTTTCAACATATCAGGTAAATTTTACTTTTTTTAAAAGAGAAGAGTTATATCGCCAATAAAGTGTCGATACTTTATAAAAATGTATCGATCCATAACAATATAACAGGTAAAAATATGACAAAACCGGTCTCGAAATGACAAAACAGGTAAAGCGCTACCGGATATGTTGAAAGTGTCGATAATTTATTATAAGTATCGACACTTTTGGAATTTAAAAGAGAAGAAGTTATAGCGCCAATAAAGTGTCGATACTTTATAAAAATGTATCGATCCATAACAATATAACAGGTAAAAATATGACAAAACCGGTCTCAAAATGACAAAATAGGTAAAGCGCTACTGGTTATGTTGAAAGTGTAGATAATTTATTATACGTATCGACACTTTTGGAATTTAGAAGAGAAGAGTTATAACGCCAATAAAGTGTCGATACTTTATAAAAATGTATCGATCCATAACAATATAACATGTAAAAATATGACAAAATCGGTCTCGAAATGACAAAACAGGTAAAGCGCTACCGGTTATGTTGAAAGTGTCGATAATTTATTATAAGTATCGACTTTTGGAATTAATAAGAGAAGAAGTTATAGCGTCAATAACGTGTCGATACTTTATAAAAATGTATCGATCCATAACAATATAACATGTAAAAATATGACAAAACCGGTCTCGAAATGACAAAACAGGTAAAGCGCTACCGGTTATGTTGAAAGTGACGATAATTTATTATAAGTATCGACACTTTTGGAATTTAAAAGAGAAGAAGTTATAGCGCCAATAAAGTGTCGATACTTGATAAAAATGTACCGATCCATAACAATATAACATGTAATAATATGACAAAACCGGTCTCGAAATGACAAAACATGTAAAGTGCTACCGGTTATGTTGAAAGTGTCGATAATTTATTATAAGTATCGACACTTTTGGAATTTAAAAGAGAAGAAGTTATAGCGCCAATAAAGTGTCGATACTTTATAAAAATGTATCGATCCATAACAATATAACAGGTAACAATATGACAAAATCGGTCTCGAAATGACAAAACAGGTAAAGCGCTACCGGATATGTTGAAAGTGTCGATAATTTATTATAAGTATCGACACTTTTGGAATTAATAAGAGAAGAAGTTATAGCGCCAATAAAGTGTCGATACTTTATAAAAATGTATCGATCCATAATAATATAACATGTAAAAATATGATAAAACCGGTCTATAAATGACAAAAGGTGAACGCATATAGTGTCGATACATTTATAAAAAGTATCGATCCAAAAAATATCGAAACCGATAATTATAATGTAATAGGTAAATTTGCAATGTTATCGGTATAAATATACCGATTTACTTATAAAATAGGTCAATATAAGCGCTACCTATTACATTATATAAGCGCTACCTAATATGTTATTGTACTTGATAATATTTCCGGTTAAATACATATTTTATTATATAAGTGCTATCTATTACATTATATAAGAGTTACCTAATATGTTATTGTACTTGATAATATTTTCGGTTAAATAATATAACATAACCGATCTAAATTTTAACCGGTCATTTGTTTAACCGATCACACCGTATATTAGCCGTTTTTTAAGCGCCGCACAGCTGAACTACCCGCGGTAAGCCAAAATTTGGATTAGAGAAGATAAGTTTTGGTAGGGAAGAAGGGTCAAGAGACTTTTTTAATAAGGGATAAAGAATCTTTTAAAATTAAGAGATCAAATACCTTTTTAATAAGGGATAAAGAATTTTATTAAATTAAGAGATCAATTTGAAAATTAATCTCTTTAATTAATATGTCATGTAATCAAATTAACGGGATTTATTAAATAAAATATAATAAATTGAAAATATAAATAATTAATATATAAATTTTTTAAAATAATAACTAAAATAAAATAGATTAAAAATAAAAATGACCTCTAATATAATTTACTCTACAAAATATTTAATTAGCCCTAATCAAAGCCTAAGCGGGTGGTTAGTTATAGTTTGTATAAAAAAATTACCACTAACAATAATTTAACTGGAAGTCACTTTTCATGTCTATGTAACCACACACACTGACACACACATATGATAGTGCTAAAAATATCATGTTTCACATGTAATATTAACTTTAGGTTAATAATTCAAACTTTCAACTTTTATGACTGGAAAGTTATAATTGGATTTGAATATAGTTAAGTAAAAATATATAATTCTGATATATTTAATTAATTATTACAATTTATAAAAAAAATATTTGAGTATACTAATTCTCAAAGGATAGATAAAAATCGATATAAATATTAAATAATTATATTTTTTATTTTTATTAACTGTTTTATTATCATATCATTCATACTACACAAGCATGATATTGTATTCATTGTCAAATGATTGATATTTTAAATAGATATTACTTTGTATTCATATTATATTTATCATAAAAATAATTTAAATATTTATAAAATAATTATAAATTCTCCCTCACTTTCAAAAAAAAAATTTATGCTTCATCCCTCCGAAATCAAAATTCTAGTTTAGTCCCTATACAAAAAAATGATTTTCGTATCTTCTTTTTCATAATATTTTTTTTAGCTTTAATCATCATCATCGTCGTCGTCGTCGTCATCATCATAATAAAAGATTTTATATATATACAAGTGAACCTTTTTTTCCTAACAAAACTTCTTATATATATATATTATTTATGTAAATATAAAATATTTATAATACATCAACTTCTTCATTATCTTTTTCATTTATTTAAATAAGTCATCTTCTGCTCTATATATGCATATATAGTTAATATCAACTTATAGTATAAATATACGTTGGGGCGTTTCGATATTATATATAATTCTTTATTATATGTTTTTCTTTTTTTCTTCTTCTAATTTTAACCTTTTATATATCAACTTCAACAACTTTGTTAATTTATGTTTTCATTTAGTTTTCTTGTTGAATACTTAAATATTTACATAATAAATTTAGAGTTTAAAATGAACTATTTTATAATAATTAATATTATTTTAAAATTTAAATTTATATAATTATGTAATTATAATTTATACTATCAAATATAACATGAAAAACTATAATATAATTTTAGTCTGATAACTAACAATGTCTAGGTAACTATATAATCATGCAATTATTAGAATAATAATTATATTTTTATATAATTAAATTGTGATATGAACATATAACATTAAAAAAAAATAAAAGGCCATGATAATTGAGCAATTCTTAACTTATATATATATATATAATTAGATTTAAAAGATAATTAATTGATAACGATTTCATCGAATAATAGTATGTTTATGATACTGTCATTTTCATAATTAATTTAAAATTTTCTGTAATAATTAAATCTTTCACTATAAATATCCCAAACATTTCTCTCAGTTTGGCACATCGATATCATTGTTAAAATAGCTAATAATACCATAGAAAAAATGATCCTCGGAGGTGTCTTGGATTCCATAGGAAATGTTGTGAACGACATTTCCGGTTCGAACACATTGACGCCAGACAGAATAGTGATTATCCTGTAGGCTAGCTCCGACAGACGATTCACAAGAGAAAATTCGCCCAAAAACCAGAGAAAAAAAAAGTCTCTAGGGTTTAATAAAATATTATAAAATCAATAATGCCCAAAAGCAGTCCACAAGCCGGACTGTTATAGCCAAAAATCGTCTTTATTAGAATTTTGCCAAAAATAGCAAAATCCCGAAAATCACTCTAAATTAAAATTCGAAATAAAATAAGCAATCTCCCAAAAATCCGGCCAAAATCGGATTTAAATTGACTTCCTAATTAACAATCGAAATATTACCATAAATAGTAAAAAATAACTAAATCTAGTGATTCGGAGGGGAAAACGGCAGAATTTGAGGTTGAAAAAAAGGCCACATGGAGCGTAGCTCAATGTGGAGAGCGTGCGCGTCGAAAAGAGCTTTCCGGATTGGGGTCTTATGCGCGATTCTGACACCTGTAGCCAAAGTTATGGCCAAAAGACTGAAACATACTCAAAACGACCCCAATGAGGAACATGTCACAATCAATTCCCGCCTTTGCGCTGATCTGCCAACTCATGGTATCTCAGCGCCATCAACGTGCAATCTGACAGCTCAGCATCATCTGTCTCGGATCCCCCTGCATCAGTCGCCCCGGGTTGGAAAGAACTCGTCCTCGAGTTCAGAGTAGTGTCATCAGGATCCACAAAACAATGACTCAGGTGCTTCACATTAAAGACATCAGAAGTCTTCAAGTGACTGGGAAGTCGCAACCTGTAAGCATTATCATTGATCTTCTGCACGACCTCACAAGGTCCAATCTTCCGATCCTTAAGCTTATTATACTCACCAACAGGAAAACGATCACGAGTTAATACAGCCCAAACAAAATCACCAACATCAAAAAGTACCTGACGACGATGATTGTCGACTCGAGTCTTGTACTTGGTATTGCTCTCATGAATGGTCTGTTTCACCTGCTCATGGATACCCCGAAGATAATTTGCCATCTCATCTGCTTTAGGACTGAAACGTCCTATACGTGGAATAGGGGCTAAGTCCAACACCCCGGATGGGTTCTGACCATAGACAATCTCAAATGGGCTTAAACCTGTGGTTCTGTTTTTTGATCTGTTGTAGGCAAATTCTGCCTGAGGCAATGCCAAATCCCACTGCTTCGGCTTCGTTCCTGCCAAACACCTTAAAAGGTTTCCCAAACTTCGGTTCACCACCTCAGTCTGGCCATCCGTCTGGGGGTGGTAGGCGCTACTGAAATTCAAATGTGTTCCCAGTTTCCCCCACAGGCTCTTCCAGAAATGGCTGATGAACTTAGTATCACGATCTGAAGTGATGGATCGAGGAACACCATGTAAACGCACAATCTCTTTGAAATAGAGATGGGCAATCCGGTCAGCATCCATAGTCTTTCTGCAAGCTACAAAATGAGCCATCTTGGAAAACCTGTCAACCACAACAAAGATAGAATCAGAGGCCCTTTGGGTGCGGGGTAAGCCTAGTACAAAATCCATGCTGACATCGAACCAAGGAGCTTCAAGAACAGGTAAGGGAGTGTACAATCCCGCATTGGTGAGAACTCCCTTAGACCGCTGGCACACATAACAACGGTCCACATAATGGGCCACATCACTAGTCAACTTGGGCCAATAAAATTCAGAAGAGATAAGGGCCAATGTCTTATCTCGGCCAAAGTGTCCCTCATTATGGAGTTCACTTATAATTTGCTGCCTCAATGAACAATCTGGAATGCACAATTGTAATCCACGAAACAGATACCCATTATGCAAAACAAAATCATGACGGTGACCCTCAGTTACCTCCTGAAATATCCTTCCAAAGGAAGGATCAGCTGCATACATATCTGTGAACGTCTCAAATCCTGCAACTTTAGTACTCATGGTGGTGAGAAGTAAGGTACGACGGCTCAGGGCATCTGCGACGCGGTTCAAACTCCCTGCTTGGTGCCTCAGCGTAAAAGTGAATTCTTGCAAGTATGCTACCCACTTGGCATGACGTCTACTCAGCTTGTGTTGGCCATTGATGTACTTCAAGGCCTCATGATCGGTAAACAGAATAAACTCCTTCTGTACTAGGTAGTGACGCCAATGCTTCAGGGACTGAACTATGGCATAGAACTCCAGATCATAAGTGGAATAATTTTTCTTTGAACACTTTGCATCACAATTTACCTCGAACACTTTGTCAAAATCTGGAAGTGCCAAAACTGGAGCCTCGGTCATCTTCTGCTTGACCAGTTGAAAACTGGCCTCTGCCTCCTCAGACCACTGGAAATCACGCCCCTTGAGGCACTCTGTGATAGGGGCGATCAGAGTACTGAAATTTCTAATGAATCGACGGTAAAAAGACGCCAAGCCATGGAAACTTCGGATGTCATGTAAGGTTCTTGGTCTGGGCCACTCCAAGACTGCATCTATCTTTGACTGATCTGCATGAACACCATCAGTAGACACAACAAAACCAAGAAAAGTCACAGAAGTAGTGAAGAAAGAACACTTCTTTTGATTGACAAACAAGCACTCCGTTTTCAGCATCTCAAACACAGCACGGAGGTGATCGAAGTGTGAAGTCCATGTCGGACTATAAACGAGGATATCATCGAAGTAAACTACAACAAATTTCCCCATAAAAGGCCGCAAGACCTGATGCATAAATCTCATGAATGTACTGGGCGCATTGGATAACCCAAAAGGCATGACCATCCACTCATACAACCCTTGTGGCGTTTTAAATGCCGTCTTCCACTCATCTCCAGGCCTTATTCTGATTTGGTGGTAACCGCTCTTAAGGTCAATTTTTGAGAAGATCTTGGAACCAGATAGCTGATCCAACATATCATCTAGACGGGGAATTGGAAACCGGTACTTCACTGTAATTCTGTTGATCGCTCGGCTGTCAACACACATACGCCAAGAACCATCTTTCTTTGGCACTAACAGAGCAGGGACTGCACATGGGCTCATACTCTCTCGGATATAGCCCCTCTCCAATAACTCTTCCACCTGTCGCTGCAACTCTTCGGCCTCCTTGGGACTGAGGCGATATGCTGGTCGATTTGGCAAACTTGACCCAGGAACAAGGTCAATTTGATGCTGAATATCCCTCATAGGTGGTAGTCCAGGAGGAAGATCCTCTGGCATCAAGTTAGAGAATTCTGCTAGCAGCCGCTGCACCTCTACTGGTAAATCTGTATCCACGTCTACTGCATTGTTCTCGCAAGGTAGCAAGGCATAGACCACGCCGCCATGCTCAATCTCATCTAAAAACCTGGACATAGAAAGCAGATTAGTATTATGGGTTACTGGGGTAGGAGTAAGTCCTTCCCGCCGGGGTGCCAACACAATCTTTTTTCCCTTGATGCTAAGGGAATATGTATTCTTCCGTCCATCATGAATGACACTGCGATCATACTGCCAAGGTCGACCCAACAATATATGACACGCATCCATAGACACAACATCACACCAGGCATTATCAAAATATTTTCTACCAATTGAAAAAGACACGAGGCATCGCCTATCAACTGTTACCTCACTGTCTTTATTTAGCCATGACAACTTGTATGGCTTAGGATGACGGTCCGTCTTCAACTGCAATTTCTGGACAACCTCCTCGGACACTACATTCTCACAACTGCCGCTGTCAATGATCATTTTGCAGACTTTATCTGCAACTGTGCAAGTCGTGTGGAAAATATTGGTTCTCAACCAATCGTCCCCTGAATCGCCCTTGGGGGTAAGTAGACTCTTGCGAACGACCAGAGTCTCATGACCATCTCCATACAGCACATCATCGATCTCATCATCGTCATACACGGGTTCGCCAATCTCCTCAGTCTCGTCTTCCACGTTTTCCTCAATCAACAAATTTTTGCCCTTTTGACTAGCAGGCTTCCTGCAATCAGTCGCCCTATGCCCTTGTTCACCACAACGAAAACATCTAATAGTAGGGTTAGAATTACCCTGCGGTGGCTGCTGAGCAGGACGGGACTCTTGAGGGCGAACTGGTCGACTGTTGTGATCGCTCCTGATCACTGGTCTCCTGTTTTGCTGTTTTTCAACAGCAAGTGCACGCTGGTATGCTTCCGAAACACTCCACAATGAATGAAGGCTGAGGACATCTTGCAAGGGCTGGCGTAAACCCCCCAAATATCGCGCCACCATCTGCTCCTCCGTCTCAGATAAATCGTTCCGGGCGACCAATTGGTAAAACTCCTCCGTGTAATCATCGACTGATCGCGCGCCTTGCCTCAACGCATGAAGTCGCTGAAATAAGGTTTGCGTGTAGCCGAAGGGAAGGAAGTGGCCCTTCATCTTCTTTTTCATCTTCTCCCAATCAGTGATCTTGGCTTTGCCCTGTCTTTCTCGTGAACGTCGTAACTGTTCCCACCACGCAGATGCTCTGCCCTTGAGTTTGATGGCGATCAGTTTTACTTTCACACGATCGGGGACTTCCTTATATTCAAAAATACGCTCCACTTCATTAATCCAATCCACGAATCCCTCGGCCTGTAACGTACCAGAAAACTCAGGGAGATCGACCCGAAAACCGAGGTCTCCATGACGCTCCTCCCGACCACGGTGCTCCCGGAATCCTGCGCCCCGGAATCCTGCGCGATTGTGATATGGGTTTTCGAAAGTGGAATTGGTATCGTGATCAGAGGCCTCACGATCCTCGAAATCCTGCGCCGTCAGGCGCTGGGTTAATTCTGCGACTTGCCTCTGCAAATCCGCAATCATCACATCCTGAACGCTGCGATCACGGCGTTGGGCTTCCTCATTCGGAACCTGCTCACGACGACCACGACCACGACCTCCAGCCATTGAAACTGGTGAAATTTCCCAAGAAGATGTTGAAGCTCTGACACCAACTGACGCCAGACAGAATAGTGATTATCCTGTAGGCTAGCTCCGACAGACGATTCACAAGAGAAAATTCGCCCAAAAACCAGAGAAAAAAAAAAGTCTCTAGGGTTTAATAAAATATTATAAAATCAATAATGCCCAAAAGCAGTCCACAAGCCGGACTGTTATAGCCAAAAATCGTCTTTATTAGAATTTTGCCAAAAATAGCAAAATCCCGAAAATCACTCTAAATTAAAATTCGAAATAAAATAAGCAATCTCCCAAAAATCCGGCCAAAATCGGATTTAAATTGACTTCCTAATTAACAATCGAAATATTACCATAAATAGTAAAAAATAACTAAATCTAGTGATTCGGAGGGGAAAACGGCAGAATTTGAGGTTGAAAAAAAGGCCACATGGAGCGTAGCTCAATGTGGAGAGCGTGCGCGTCGAAAAGAGCTTTCCGGATTGGGGTCTTATGCGCGATTCTGACACCTGTAGCCAAAGTTATGGCCAAAAGACTGAAACATACTCAAAACGACCCCAATGAGGAACATGTCACAATCAATTCCCGCCTTTGCGCTGATCTGCCAACTCATGGTATCTCAGCGCCATCAACGTGCAATCTGACAGCTCAGCATCATCTGTCTCGGATCCCCCTGCATCACACATCCACCAAGACAATAACAGGCAGTGTTGTTTTAGTCAAGAAGAACTTTTTGGACCTCACCTCCATGACCTCCACCGTCGCAGATGGCCTTTTCGAGTTTCTCGGAAATGGAGTCACTCTCCAGCTCGTCAGTGCTCAAAATTCTGATCCTGGTTCGTTTCATTTCCTGCTTTCACTTTTTATTTTTGTATTTATCAGTAATTATAAATGAATGTTACAGCAAATGGATATGGAGGAAAGCTGGGGAAGATGGAAGGTTTGGAGTACTGGAACCTGACATTTACTCCTCCATTGGCTGGTAGTGATTCATTGTATAAGGTTACATTTGAGTGGGATGTGGAGTTTGGAATTCCTGGAGCTATCATCCTTCGAAATAATCATGTGGCTGAGTTTTTCTTAAAGACGATCACCCTCGAAGATGTTCCTGGCGCCGGTCGAATTCACTTTGTTTGCAATTCATGGGTGTACCCTGATAGACAATATAAACAACCACGAGTTTTCTTCCCCAACAAGGTACCTAAACACTTTGGACGTTCGAGACCTTATACATGCTTTTGCTTCTGTTATATGAATTAAACCCGAACTTCCGTATTTAAACACCTTTTGTAGACATACCTTCCACATGAGATGCCTGCAGCGCTGCGTAAATACAGGGAGGAAGAGCTAAAGGCCTTGAGAGGTGATGGGACCGGAGAGCTGAAACTAGGAGATCGTGTTTATGACTATGCTTTGTACAATGATTTGGGTGACCCTGATAAGGGTGCCGAACTCGCCCGTCCGGTTCTCGGAGGCTCAATGCAGTATCCTTATCCTCGTAGAGGAAGAACAAGCAGACCACCTTCAAGATCAGGTCAGAATGTGATTTATATGTGCTTTTAGTTGTATTGAATTGTGTCCAACATTTTTCTTTCTTTCATAGATCCTAACACGGAGAGCAGGCTTTTTCTACCGGATGTTCTTAACATTTACGTCCCACGAGACGAGCAATTTGGTCATTTGAAGCTGTCGGATTTCATTGTTTATAATCTGAAAGGCTTAGTTAATAAAATCATTCCTTTATTAGAAGCTTTTGTTAACTATACTCCGAATGAGTTCGACTCCTTCAAAGACGTAGACAATCTCTACTTCAATGGAATTCCACTTCCTACCGATCTTATCAATCAACTCGCAAGTAACATCCCTTTGGAGATGATGCAGGAATTTTTTCGATCTGATGGCCAACAACTCTTAAAGTTTCCAGTGCCTAAAGTGATTGAAGGTAAACATTTTTTATTGTTATAAAATATCGCATGCATGTATGTAATCATCTTCATATGTTTTCGATGACTTATGAGCAGACCGGAATAATCCCATAGCATGGAGGACAGATGAAGAATATGGCCGAGAAATGATTGCAGGATTGAACCCTCTTCTCATTCGTCTCCTCACGGTAAGCTTAAAGAGAAACTCAATCAACTTGTATTGTCTTGTATGATCTCAGCTTATTAATTATGAAATCAATTGCAGGAATTCCCTCCGGCTAGCAAGTTAGATCCTGAAGTGTATGTTCATCAAAACAGTTCTATAACTAAAGAACACATTGAGTATAACTTGGATGGACTTACTGTAGAAGAGGTACTAGTTTTTGTATATATCATTTTCTTCATTTCTATATTTCTTGGAATATCACTAATGAACTATGGATGTGGTCCAGGCACTGAGTAGCAAAAGGCTATTTATTTTGGATCATCATGATACTGTAATGCCTTACCTTGGGAAGATAAACAGCTATACTGAAGCAAAGACATATGCATCTAGGACAATTCTGTTCTTGAGAGGCGACGGTACATTAAAGCCAATGGCTATTGAATTGACCTTGCCGAAACCGGATGGAGACAAAATTGGTGCTCTTAATCAAGTATACACTCCTGCAGAACACGGAGTTGAGGGTTGGATTTGGCAGCTTGCTAAAGCTTTTGTAACCGTGAATGATTCCGGTCATCATCAGCTTGTGAGCCACTGGTAAATACAAATATATATATATATATAGCTTTTATTAAGCTAAATCAGAGATCAGTTTGAAGCTAATTTAGGGAATCTTTTGATTTGATCTCAGGTTGAACACTCATGCAGTTTTAGAGCCATTCGTGATTGCAACAAACAGACAACTGAGTGTGGTTCATCCAATTTATAAACTTCTCCATCCTCATTTTCGTGACACCATGACTATTAATGCATTGGCCAGAGAATTGCTTGTAAATGCAGATGGGATTATAGAGAAGACATTTTGTCCCGGAAAATACTCCCTGGAGATGTCCTCGGTTATTTACAAGAGTTGGAATTTCTTGGATCAGGCTCTTCCTAATGACCTCAAGAAAAGGTAATATAATCTTGCTCAAAAGCCTCTATTAACCATCCACTGTAAATGGTTATAATCTTCCATGTTGTAACAGGGGAATTGCAGATGGTGATATAAATTCTCTCGGTGACCTTGACCGACTTCTGATAAAAGATTATCCATATGCTGTTGATGGGTTGAAGATCTGGTTTGCAATTGAAAATTGGGTTAGAGATTATTGTTCCTTTTACTACAAGACTGACGAAATGGTTAAAGAGGACCCTGAACTTCAAGCTTGGTGGACAGAACTCCGAGAGGTCGGTCACGGTGACAAGAAACATGAGCCATGGTGGCCAAAGATGCAAAACCGCCAAGAGCTAATACAATCTTGTACCATCATCATATGGATTGCTTCTGCACTTCATGCAGCTGTCAATTACGGACAATATGCCTATGGAGGCTACTTCCCGAACCGTCCAACGCTAAGCCGAAGGTTCATGCCTGAGAAAGGCACTCTTGAATATGATGAGCTTGAGAAGAACCCTGAGAAGGTTTTCTTTAGAACCATGTCCTCACAGCTGCAATCATTGACCGTCATTACCGTGGTTGAAACCCTGTCGAACCATGCATCGGATGAGATGTATCTTGGACAACGATTCCCGAACTGGACAACGGATGCTATTCCGCTAGCAGCTTCAGAGGCTTTCAATAACAGGCTTGCTGAAATTGAAGGGGAAATCTTAAAAATGAACTTGGACAAGAGATTGAAGAACAGGATCGGTCCGGTCAATGTTCCTTATAATTTGCTCCATCCAACTGGTGAACCTGGAATCTCTAATAAGGGGATTCCAAACAGCATCTCAATCTAATAAACTCGACGTTGTTAAGGGCATAAATTGCATTAAATAAGTGCTTCTATTGTAATTATTAAAGCACATCAGTTTATCGTCTTTGTCTTGTGTTATTTTCTTAAAGGTTGTGTGTTGTTTCAAGTATGATGTAATGCTTCTATGTTATTTATTAGGAATAAATCTACCTTCCAAGAAAATTCGGAGGGCAGCAATGAAAGAATAAACTTTGCTCTTACTAATACGAGGCCATAAGAAAACCAGCATGTTAGGTTTTTGATCACGTGGGTATTGCGTAGCAGCAGGCATGAACTTTGGTTTTCCACAACCCTGAGCATTCGAAATGAATAGTTCAAAATAAATAATATGAGGGTAAGCCCTTGAGTAAAAATAAGGAGAACACGAGAGTTGCATCAAAGAGTCAGCATGCTCATGTTTTACCTACAGTGGTGTCAACTAAAAATGTGAGCATGTTTTACCTATAGTGGTCTCAACTCGAAGTATAAGTCAGCATATCTTCATCACCATATGTTCCATTGCATACATCCATTTTAAATAACCCTTTACCTTTATCATCATCGAACTCACAACTACCTCCATCCCCATTCATTCTAGTACATTCACATTCATCGAATAATCCATCACCATCATCATCATCTCCTACTTCACCACCACCCACCTTTTCACATCATTTTTTGTTTCACTCGCCATTTCCTGCTTCACCTCACTCACCACTTCCTCTACGGTCTACCATCCTCCAGTTCACGTTCACCTTTACCTCCATCACATTCATCATTTCCATTATCGTCTACTGTTGTTCCATCATCTTTATCTCCTGTTGTTAGTCAGAATGCTCACCCCATGTTCACTCGGGAAAGGCTGGGATTTTCAAGCCAAAAGTCTACATGGTGGAAGGAGATAGAAAACTTGCCACTGTCTTTGAAGCTCTACAGCATTCTGAGTGGAGAAAAGCAGTTCAAGCTGAGTATTCAGCCTTACAGAAAGAAAGCACTTGGGAACTACAGTTGATGCCTCTCACACGAAAGGCCGTTGGTTATAAATGGTAGTTCAAGATAAAACGAAAATCAAATGGGTTTGTCGATCGGTTTAGAGCTCGTCTGGTGACTAAAGGTATCTCAAACTGCTGGAATTGATTTTAGAGAAACCTAGTCTTGTTGTATGTGCGACCACTATAAGGACTATTCTTGCTACAATAGTACTTCGTGGTTGAGCAATACGATAGGATAGATAGACATCAATAATGCATTCTAATTAAATGGGGAGTTAACCGAAGATATATATATGAATCAACCTCTTGGTTTTGAGCAGTGCAAACCTAATGGAGAGAAACTTGTGTGCAGACTCGAGAAAGCTATCAATGGGCTTAGAGAAGCCCGAGGAGCTTAGTATAAGACCGTTGCTGCAGTGCTTACAACCAAGTTGGGCTTTGTTACCTCTAAGGCCGAGTCATCTTTATTTATCAAGAACAATGGTGCTTTCAAGTTGTTGTTGATGGTATACGTAGATTACATAATCATCACTTGAAACAACACATGTAAAGTTGAAGATATTTTTCATCATATAAACTTAGCCTTTTGTTGAAAGATATGAGACAGGTTGAGTTTTTTGTTCGAATGGAAATTCAACGAAGTTCAGATGGGTTATTCATTAATCAGAGTAGGTATGTGGCAGATTTATTACTCGGTCAACACTCTCGTCCAACTCCAACTCCTATGGTGGTCACTCCCAAGTTATAGAATGATATCTAGGTTTTGGGGTGTAGACACTAAATTTTCACCGCATCTCCTCCATCCCAGCCAACCGTCGCTTTTCACGCCACCAACCCCGAACCTTCCGACGCAAGGAGAGCTCACGTCACGAATCCAACAAACAAACAACCAACCGAGAGTTTCATTCAGAGTCAAACTCTCAAAAATAGGGTTCATGAACACTATAAATAAGATGTAAACTCACATTCAAAGGGAACATATCGGAACATAAAGAAAAAATACCGAGAGGAAAAATCGAGGAAATACAGGGGCTCCCCACATTCTACAGAAAAAAAGAGACCTTCATCTTTGCTCTCTGGCCGATTCTTGGCTCCAAGAATAGAGAGAATATTAGAGAAAGGGGGAACTACCTTAGTCGTGTAAGTCCTTTTCCGGTCTTCGGATAGCCGGTGAGTCGAGTTGTGGCGGAGAGGGGTTAGAGGTAAAAGCTTCTCGGCCATGGAGGAAGAATGGAAAATGAAAGAAAGAGAGGAAAATTTTCTTTTGCTATTCACGTGATTCTGGCAGAAAATAAGGGAATGGGTTTATTTGTTTTAACTTTTGGATAAATTAGGAAATAGGTCGCTAGAATCTATTGTATTCCATGGTTTGGTAAAATAAAGGTCTAATCACATTTTGGTCTCTGATTTATTTTTATTCGAATTGGCCCCCCTAACTTTTTATTTTTCTCTTGCAGATTTGTTTAGTACTAATTTGACCTATCAACTTCAATTTATTTCAAATTGGTTCTTTAGATTTTTAATTATTCATTTTTTTCTTTGATTTATTTATTATGTTATTTATTTTGTTTGTTTTGTTTTGTTTTGTTTTTTTCTTGATTTTATTTTTTTCTAATTTTTATTTATTCTTTATGTTATTTTTTTCCTTTTGATTTATTCTTTTATTCTTTTTATTTATTTTTACATTTTTCTTCTTTCTTTTGATTTATTTAATATATTTTGATTTTATTTTTATTTTCCATTTGATTTATTTATTTATTTTCTTTCTTCCTTTTGATTTATTATTTTTATTTTCATTCTTATGTTTTTTTTCTTTGATCTATTTAAAAATTTATTTATTTATTTATTTTCCTAACATTTTCGACCTTTTTTTAGAAGAATTCGAACCGATCAAAGGTAAGTAATTCGAATCGAATATTTTAGATTTTAATTTTAATTTTTGATTTTTCGCAATTAAAGACAACCGATAAATTAATTGGTACCGAAAGGGTGGTTCAAGGGTGCTAATCCTTCCTTGACCGTAATCGAATATTTTCCTAATTTTTGATTTGTCATGTATTATTTGTTCTTTTTTACCATGAATAAAAAACAATCTTCTTCTCTAGACCAATTCCTTTTGAGCATCTTGGATTGAGCTTAAGCTTAATAATTTATTTACTTATGCAAAAGATATTTGTATATTACTGTACAAAGATTCATTGAAAAGTACAGATACTCGGAAGCCGATCAAGGCTCATGCACATACTTGAGTTGGTCGAGAAGTATTTCTCAGATCAAGAATACAAAACATCAGATTTGAATATTTGAAGAATTCAAGACCAGGGATCGAAACTTCAAGATTCCATAGTCAAGATTCCAGACAGATTTTAGCTATAGTCAATTTCAACTTCGCGGCGAAGGATATTGAACTCAAAGCGACACAATTTGCTCGAGAGTATATTTCAACTTCACGACGAAGGATATCTAGCTCGAAGCCGAATTTCACAATAAAGAGGTCATCCATGGTTTCAACTTCACGGCGAAGGGAATCGTGTCCACCCACAACATATGATACTTGAATTTCAACTTCACGACGAAGGATATTCAAGTCAAAGCTCAACTTCACGACGAAGGAGGGCCATCAGCGATTTCAACTCCACGACGGAGGATATCGCGCCACTCGAGACAACACAAGTTTAACTTCACGACGAAGGGACGGCTGGTTGTCAATAAACCACTTTTCAGTTTCATTTAGAGCAAATTTCAACTTCACAGCGAAGGATATTGGACTCAAGACAACACAAGTTCAACTTCACAACGAAGGGACGGCTGGTTGTCAACAAAACAACTTCCCAATTTTAGAGCCAATTTCAACTTCACAGCAAAGGATATTGGACTCAAGACAACACAAGTTCAACTTCACAACGAAGGGACGACTGGTTGTCAACAAACAATTTCCCAATTTCAGAGCCAATTTCAACTTCACAGCGAATGATATTGGACTCGAGACAACACAAGTTCAACTTCACAACGAAGGGACGGCTGGTTGTCAACAAACAATTTCCCAGTTTCAGAGCCAATTTCAACTTCACATCGAAGGATATTGGACTCGAGACAATATAAGTTCAACTTCACAACAAAGGGACGGCTGGTTGTCAACAAACAATTTCCCAGTTCCAAAGCCAATTTCAACTTCACGGCGGAGGATATTGGACTCAGAACAGTACAACTTACTTGGATTTCAACTTCACGAAGAAGGATATCTAATTCCCATGCTCAACTTCACAACGAAGGGGCCATACACAAATTCACAACAAAGGGTATTGTACCTTAGCAGATTGAGCCAACTTCACGACGAAGGAGTCATTTGTAACACAACAATACCAAAGTCTTCAGGTCAAGTTTCACCTTCACGATGAAGTATCTTGAGCCAGAAGACGATCCATGAGTTATTGGTCAAAGCTTTGAGTTCGATTTTAACTTCACGACGAAGGATTACGTGCTCAGAATTTCCCAGTTTTGACTCAACCTCACGTCGAGGAGGTAATTTTTGGATTTAATCCAAATATCGGATTTCAACTCTACAACAAAGGACATTCGATATAGTCAAAACTGGTGTCTTTTAATCTTTGTTCTATTTTCGTTACACGACAATGAGCAAAGAGGGGCAGCTGAAGATACCTAATTTCTCTCGGCACCAACACTCCCACGGACATAGGAACACCCACAATAGAACAACCAAATAGCATTAGAAGTCTATTTTATGTAGGATTCTAAAGATAATATGCTTGTTCCAGTATAAATAAATGTAATCAAAACCCATTGTAACACAACGACAGGGGATACGGAATAAAAAGCAAACATTTGCACAGCTATTTTACACAAGAAAGTTTCGAGCAATTCATTCGACAGTCACAAAAATTCCACAGCGTTTTTGCGATTTTACAAAAAGAAACAAAGGTAAATATCGAACCTTTTTCGAACTTATGCTTGCATGTAGCTCCTTTGTCCTCTGATTTTGAAAAGAAACCCCAAAAAAGCATTTTACCGATGAATATAGGGGGTTAGTCGAGATCTTTGGCGTTAGATCTAGCCCTCCCG